GTTTTAATAATAGCCCAGAGTCTCTAAAAATCTATTGGGACATCCTCCAAGGCACTGTATAAACAAAACCAAGGATCACAGGATAAAGATTGTTTGGTTTTGTTTTGGGTTTGGGGGTATGTTTTGTTCTGAATTGAAAAGTTAACAAAAACAAGAGAGCTCAACTGAAAAAGGCTGAAACCAGAATCATACCGTTTTTTCTAACTCAGTGGCAAACCCAGGTTTCTACTGTCTATTACACCAGGAAGGACTTTGGAGCTAAGTTTCCCAGAAGACAATCAAACCAACAGTTCCTCACGTCAGGAAAGGAAACCTCAGCTCTTATGTACAGACTCTGTACATGCCCGTAGACCCTCTCCAGAGGAGTCCACCGCAGCTATTGGTTCAGAGAAGCTTCTCCAGTAGGATGGGTGGCACAGCACATTAAAAGGACAAAGGGAACTCATTCCAGGAATGCAAGGATGATGTGCTATAACATATAATAGACAAAATCCAACATCCTTTCCTTAAAAAAAAAAAAAGAAATCCATTAAAGAAGAAACCAATGGATAATTCTTTAACATGATAAGATATGTTGCTTAACCGGAAAACATCAGAAGCATTCCCGCTAAAGTCGGGAATGATACACACGTGCCTGGTATCATTGTACAGGAGGTACTAGCCAATGCAATTAGAGAAGCGAAATAACTTAGAGATATAGGAATTGGATAGGGGGAATGCATGGTGACTATGGTTAACAATACTGTATTGTATATTTGAAAGTCACTGAGAGTAAATCTTAAAAGTTCTCATCATAAGAAAAAATATTTATAACTGCATGGTGATGGATATTAACTAAATTTATAGTGATGATCATTTCACAATATAAACATATATAAAATCGTTATATAAGTATATATATGTAGTATACCTATCTATGTCAATTATATCTCAATAAAAATTTAAAAATGGATGAGAGGAGGTAGAATTATTTCCATTTATAGATAATATGATTATAAACCTTGAACATCCAAGAGAATCAACTAAGAAACAACTACAAACAATAGCCAGTTATAAGACTCCACAAAAAAAAGATAAAATATCTGAGTAAACTTATGAAAAAATATGCAAGCTATATACTAAAAAATTGTAAATAATACTGAAGGACACGGAAGACCTAAACAAATGGAAAGACATAGTATGTTCCTAGATAGAAAGATTCAACATTATAAATATGTCCATTCTCTGAAGTTAATGTGTAAATTTAGAGCAATCCCAATAAATTTCACAGAAGAGGATATTTAAATGATATATATGTATACATATACATATATCTAAATGCTGAACTTAGTTATTAGAGAAGTAAGAACTAAAAGCACAATTAATTACCACTACATACACACCAGAATTAATAAAATTAAAAAGATCAACAAAACCAAGTGTTGCAAGAATGGACAATAACTGGAATTTTCAGACTCTACTGGAAGGAGGGCAAATTGTTACTCATCTACTTGGAAAAGAGTTTGGCAGTTTTTTCTGAAGTTGAACATATGCATATCCCATGGCCCAGAAATTCCTCTTGTTAAGTAAATATCCAACAGAAATGTGTATATACGAACACAAAAACTACGTGCGATAGCCGAAAACTGAGAACTTCAATGGACATCAAAAGGAGAATGGGTAAATTTCACAAATATAATGTTGAGCAAAAGAAGCCAGATCCAAAAACATCCATATATATAAAAGTAAAAATAAAAACAGCAAAAGCAATCTAGGACATAAGAAACCAGGGTGATGATTATCTGGCAGAAGGGGCTAAGGGAGTAACTGTTTGGGTGTCTGAGGGTTTGGCTCCTGTTCCAGATATGGTTAATAGTTTACTCTGTGTTCACTTTGTGATAACTCATTAACTTGTATACAATTTATTGGCTTTCCTGTATGTGTGTTATACTTCAACTTTTATTCAAGCGATTCCGATAAAAACACCAACACGTGTGTGTGTGCTTAGATTTTTAGATTTTAAAGTTCAAACAGAAAAATGAAGAAACAAGAATAGACTGGAATAGGTTTAAAAATAAGAAAGCAGCACTTCCGCATATTAAAACATACTTTTAAATATTGTAAAGCTTAGTAAGCAAAACAGTGGGAACGTGAATGAACATGAATAGCCAGAGGAACCGATAAAAAAGAATAACAAGTTCTGAAATAAGCCTACATACATATGAGAAAAAAGCTTGTGATAAGCAGCTTCTCAATTCATCAGGGAAAAGATAACCATCGGGGAGGGGGGACAGTTAGATCTGTACCTCATTGGATCAGGATAAATTTCAAATGGATCAAAATTTGAACATAAAATAACAGAAGAAGAAAAAGGACAGGTCCTATTATCTTGAAGTGGGAAAGACCTTTGTCTCTATGATTCAATATTCAGAAGCCATAAAAGAAATGATGGATAAATTTGACTGCATAAAAATAAAACCTGTGTATATAAAACAAACAAACCACCAACAAAATAAAAGAAAAACACTAAACTGGATGCGATTTATATCAAAGGCAAAAGGCTAATCTCCCTAATAAATAAACGGCTCCCAGAAATAAAAATGAAAAAAGCAACAAACCAATTTTTAAAATAAGCAAAGAATATATTTAAGACAGTCATAGAAAAAGAAAGAGAAACAGTCTCTTTAAACATATTATAAGTTTAAAAGCTTTCACAACAAATTTAAATTAAGACTCGGTTGAGTCACTGTTTCTCACCTATCAGATCGGTAAAAATCGAGTTATGTGACAATTTTAATGCATTGGCAATGATGTGGGAAAATAGTAACTTCTCATCCAGAACTGGTGGAGGTGTAAATTGGTAACGAACCCCAGAAAGGGCAAGTTGGCGATCTCTCTCAAAATTACACATGCGGTACTTAGCAATCCCATTTCTGGGAATTTATCATACATATATAATATACACTTGCAAAATGCCACAGGTACAGTGTCTGTGACAGCGGATCAGAAACAACATGAATGTTCGCCACGCAATAAAATAGCATGATATATTCATGATAATAGCATGAAACAAGCCAGGCACAAAAGAGCGTGTATTTGGTTTTGTAAAATGTGTTCAGCAGAGGTGGCAAAGCATTATATATATATATGCTCGTACGTGCATAGCAACCCCGTATTAGAATAATTCACACTGAAGTGCGAAAGATTGGCAATTTAGAATCTCCCAGAAATGGTGCAGCCTTAAAAGAAGATGCTTGTTAACCCGAACATATCTGTAATTTGACAGACTTTTTGTCAGGGTGATAAAGTGAACTGGAAAAATGCATATAATGCAAGTCCAGAGATTTGGGGGGGTCACGAGGGGATCCATACATCAGGAGATTCCTCAGCTTTCCCAAGGATTGGCTTTAATTAGATTATACCCAATAAACTAAAAACCGTTGCCTGGGAGAGGAGGGGGCTGGTGAGTAATGAACTAGGAGTAAAAGAAAGACTTTCACTCTCGTTCTTTCTTACATGAGGTTCAAACCATATGAATGTATTATCTATCGAAACATTAATCAGCAAAAGAGAAGAGCTGAAGTAACAGCTCCTCAGCCTGGATCAAGACCCAAAAGATCTACCCCAGCTCTTGTTCCACGAGTCTCTGCCACTTATTAAAAGGCAAAGTTAAATATTTACAGGGAGTTTTATCACCCCATAACAGGTCACCGACTGCCAAAAACATCTAACGTCAGAATTGCTATGCGAGACACTGTGAGATAGAAAGACCTTGGGCAATTCGCTTAAGCGCCCTGAAACATCAGTTACCTCTTTGGCAGAGCAAAGGGCAAAACATCACAGAATTGCTGTGAGGTGCCGGTCTGTGAGTTTCAGGAAGCCACAAAGCAGAGCCGAACAAGCTCTTCATGCAACAGCTGCTGCACAGCTGAGCCTGGGCTAGAATCGATATCAGACCCGAGCTTCAGGGCTTCTCAAAGGTCAGTGTTGCTGACCAATCACCTGGAGAAGCTGTTTAATCACAGGCTTCCAAGCCCTGCCTTTGGCCACGAGAGTGAGTAGGTCTGGAGCCCATGAACTTACATTTCTAACAAGCTGCTTCTCCCAGGTAATGCTGATAAGCTGGTTTAAGGACCACATTTGAGGAGTCTGGTCCAGGGCAGGCTCCTCACACTGTGATGTGGGTACAAATGGCCTGGGAATCTTGCTAAAATACAGATTCTGACTCAGGAGGTCTGAGGTGGGGCCTGGGACCCTGCATTTACAAAGAGCTCTTACGTGTGGTCTGTAGATAAGGAAATTGTGCCTGGGAAAAAGTAAATGACTTGCCCAAGGCCACTTGGATGGCAAGGCCTCTTCCAGGGTGGCTGCTATTCCTCAGAAGTACCTCCACCCACTGTCCCCAAACTTATGCCACAAAACTTCCTGAGCCAATAAGTGATGCCAACCCTTTAGAAAATGGCATGGACATTTACTAAATCATACAGAGTCCTCTAGTCTTCCAAGAAATAAGCAACTTATCAGGAAGTTTAGCTCAAACCACCAGGATGTTCTTTTTAAAAAAATGCACTTTTGGCAAAATTATTTCTTTAGTTTAGAGTCATCTTCCCCTCCAATGAGTCACACCTTTGACAGGCCCTGCTGTGGAAACCTGCAGAAGACACAGCGTTTCTCAACACGTGTAGTCTGATTACGGGGAGTGGAGGGTGAGGAGAAGCAGAAATGAGGGCGGGGAAGCCAGTCCTTGGAAAAGCTGAGGAATCTCCTGGTGTCTGGCTCCCTCATGACCTCAAAAGCAGAATCACACTGTATGCATTTTCCCAACTCATTTTATCATCCTGACAAAAAGTTCATCGAATTAAAAAATTTATTTGGATTAACAAGCATCTTCTTTTCAAAATGCATTATCTCTGAGCTGCCAATCTTCCACACTTGAGCGTGAATTATTCCAGTACAGAGGGAAGGGAGTAGAGTTCCAGATACAAGGTCTCTGGAGTAGTAATGGCAGAGAGGGACCTTACCTGAGATGAGGCTTGATCTGGGAGCACAGTTGCTGGTAACCACAGCTGCGACCTTGGTGTCTGCACCACACTTACCAGCAAGCAGGCCCCACCCCCATGCCTGTAGGCTGTGATTTGTGGGCCTGGCTCTGCCACTAATTTGCTGGGTGACTGAGTAAATCACATAGTTTTAGAAACTTTCAGAGCTAGAAGGAACGACCCTCTGATCCCAGAACCCCAATTTCTAAGCCAAAGAACACATGGCCCCTAATGGCCTGTCTGAGAGTGGCTTCCCCAGAAGCAGAGCCTGAGACAGGGGTTTAGTTTTGCATGAGTTATTCAGGGCATGCTCTTGGGAGAAATCTGTGAGGGAGGGATGGGAGCAGGACAGGGAAGGGCAAGTCTCAGAGGCTCTGAAGCATTTTTAAATAACACCGCAGTCTTCCCACCCCGGGGCAAAGAGGCTGGGCTTTCTTTCCATTGACTTAGTCACCAGCCCCCCGGGTGAGGGGTGAAGTAGGGTAACCTCCCAAGTATTTCTGGCAAAGGTCTGCTGTTTGTGGCAGTACCTCCCACCCCCACAGCGGCCAGGAAATGGGTACACAGTGGGTAAAAGGGATTTGGTGGGCACTAACTCTTCCTTCCAGTTCTGAGAGCCCCTCAAATATATTTCTAAACAAGAGGCACCCAAAAGACCGACGGCGAGGGAAGAATAAAATTCCATTCTTTGTTTCCAGAAGAATCTTGGAATCTGCATTTAAAATAAATCCTAACTTCTCCCCGTGACTTACTGGCAGGCTGACTCCTCCCCCAGCTCCTCCCACCGTCCTGGCACTGACGGCACAGCCACAGGTCACACTGACTCCTCCTTAAGGACTTTGCCTGTTCCCTCTGCCAAGAAAGTTCCACCCCAGATTTTTGCCCAGCCGGCTCCTTCTTGGCAACTCAGACATCACCTGCATGGAGAGGCCTTCTCTGACCATCCCAGGTCACTGCATGTTATACTCTGTGGCACTTCTGCATAGCACTGGCCACTCTGACATTATCTTGACTGCGTTCACTTGTGCGTTGTCTCCCCACAAGAATGGCCTCCAGTGGACAGAGCCGTGTTCTGGCCTCATCACTGTATCCCCAAGCCAGGTGCTGGCTCGGCACACAGGAGACCACAACATCTGTAAACAACATCTGAATGAATGAGTTGGACATTTGGGCCAGATAGTTAAGGGCCAACAGAGAAGGGGAACTCGGTCAGCTAAACACTCTGCACCTTAGAAGCTGGAGGAAAAGCAGGCCCAAGGCAAGATAGGGAAGGAGAGAATCCACCATGTTTCCTTGGCTACTTTGATTCCTCCCTCTCCTCTCCCAGCTCCCTCTCTCAGCTCCTCCCCTCAACATGGAGCCAAGAGTTAGTTAGCATCCGTCCCGGGATGTCCGTCACCCTCTGGAAGAGTGCAAACCTCTCCGAACAACCAGGCGCATCTGGGCTCCAACTCTAGCTCTAGTTCTGAGCCTCCCCTCCCCACTGGGACCTGAGTGAGGCACAGTGACCATGCCTGTCTCAGAGGGAGCTCCACTCAAACGCGCACCACTGCAAATTTCACCTAGGCAGGGTAAATTCCAGCCCCTGCGCTGCATTTCTGCCCCTGGCCACCTCTGTGGCTCCTCAAGCTCCAGGTCAGCTTCCACGGCCACCGGCTCTGGGCACCTGTGAGATGCCCGCACGTTACCCAGCATTTCCCACCTGCCACGCACTTGCTAGCTCACCTGCTCAGTGAAACCGATTTATCATCAGTATCCCACAACTCGCTGTCTCATTATCTCCACTTTACAAGTGAGGAGACAAGGCTGAGAGATTGAGCCACTGACCAAAGTTCACACGGCTAATGAGTGGGGCATCTGCGTTGAAACCCCCGCCCGTTGGATGCTTCCATCTCTTTAAGTGGTTTGTCACCAGGGGCTCGTTGAATACAGCAGTCCTGGGAGGAAGGAGCATTCGTTACCTTCATTTCTAGGCAGGGAACCCCTCATGGGGCATGCAGACAGGCCAAAGTCGGTGCTTCGTTTCGCCGATGTGGAGTCTGAGGCTCCAGGAGACACAAGGGCCACGCGCTGAGCCCACAGAGGGGCCGGGCGTCTCCCCTGCAAGACAGCGGGAGAGCAGAGGCCACCTCACCGCACACGCTGTTGGCCAGAGGCTCACCTGGGGTGGCTCACCTGGGGTGGCTCACCTAGGATGGCTCACTTGGGGCAGCTCACCTGGGGCAGCTCACCTGGAGCTTCACCTGGGCAGGCCCAGGCTGCTGTGTCTGGAGGCCCTCGCTCTTCCCGCCCTTGCCCTTTGCCCTCTCCCTCCCTCTATCTGAATGGCAGAGCCCAAGGCCCAGTCTCTTTGTGGGGCAGGACCCAGGATGCTCCAGAGGAAGTTGGACCCCCACGTCCTAATCTAATCACCTAATCTAATCACGTGCCGTACTAGGAATGAAGGGTTGGCTTTATTTAAAAATAAATTACTGTAAATTCCCCCCACATTAGCAAATGGAAAAAGAAAAACCTATGATCACCTGAATAGATGTAAAGGATTCTGTGCCCTTTGCATCCACTCGCAATAAAAACTGTCAGCCAATCATGAATAGAAAATCTTCTCTCTCAGAAGCTAAGCAGGGTGGGGCCTGGTTACTTGGATGGGAGACCACCTAGGAAGACCACATGCTGTAGGCGTAAAAAATAAAAAAAATAAGATACTGTAAACTAATAAGGTCCTTGAAATCTGTGAGGTCAACCAAGGGTTGCCTCGCCTAAAAAAAAGAAAAAGAAAGAAAGAAAGAGAGAGAGAGAGAGAGAGAAAGAGAGAGAGAGAGAAAGAAAGAAAGAAAGAAAATCTTCTCAACTTGGAAAACAGCATCTGTGAGCAGCTTACAACTAAATGGTAAACAACTGAATGCTTCCCCTCCAGAACTGGGAACCAGATGAACTAATAAACGAGATCAGCAAGGTGGCAGGACACAAGATCAGTGCAGAAAAACCCACTATATTTCTACTTACTATCACCAAAAGCAGGAAACAACTTAAATATCCATCAGCAGGTGAATGGATGAAATTACGGCAGATTCATATAATGGAACACTTTGTGAGGGAAAGAATGAATTACTGATACACATAACGACACGGGCGAAGCTCAAAATAATTATGTAGAGTGAAAAAAAACCCAGATTCCCAAAAGAAAGAGTACATATTGTGTAATTCCATTTATTTAAAACTCTAGAAAATCCAAACTAATCTATGGGAACAGAAAGCAGACCAGTGGCTGTGTGAGGAGTCGGGGGGAGGGAGGGATTTCAAAGGGCTCGGGAAACTCTCGGCAGTGATCAAGAGAGTCATCTTCTGGGTTCTAGTATATATATTCAAAAATTGAGCAAATTGTGTCCTTTCGAACAGTTTATTGCATGTCCATGTTACCTCAATAAGCTGTTCTTTAAAAATCGCATATACAGTGAGGTACTTAGAACAGGCAGATTCTAGGGACAGAAAGGAGAACAGAAATTGCCAGGGGCTGGTGTGAGGGGCAAGGGGCTTGTTTAATGGGTAGAGTTTGTGTTTAAGATACTGAATAAGTTCTGGAAATAGATGGTGGTGATGATCACACAACATTGTAAATTGTGCTTAGTGGCACTGAAGTGGACACTTACAATGTTTAAAGTGGTCATTTTCATGTGATGTATATTTTACCACAATAAAAAGTAAAAATAACTCAAAAGTAGTGCATATGAGTGGACATTTGCATTGGAGGGGAAAGAGGAGGATTTTCTGCCTTTCTCAGACTCCTAAGGGGTGTCAGTCCTCAAAGGTCAGGAACAGCCCTTCTCCCATAAGACAGACAGCCATATGACAGACAGCCATCTTCCTATAGGACAAGACCCTAGTGATCCTTTGCTCCAAGGACCCAGGATTGCCCGGGTCAGGCCCCCGCCCAGCAGCCCGCCCCTCCTAATGGCCGAAGGGTCTTTATCCCTTTGCACCTGCTGTTCCCTGAGCAGAATGCCCTTCCCCATTCACCTGCCCACCGAATTCTCCCTCCCGTTACCTCCCCTTCCCCTAACTCCATTCCCCAAACCCCCGAGACTCTCCCACAAGCCGCCCCGGACACACAGAAGGCTGCCAGTCCCACTGGCTCCAGCCGCCTCCTCTCCAAGGGAGCCGTCCCTTTGTGCCCCCAGGCCCTCGGGGCCCCTTCTCCTCTGCCCTGACTCCAGTGTCCTGCACATCTACCCGCTGTCTCCACTCAGGCTGGGAGCTCCTTAAAGTCCCGGACTTCCCCAAACGCCCTCTGTCCCCGGCTTTCACAGCTGATCAACGCTGGCTTTGGGCTGGACCAGTCCACCACCCCCTCTTTTTCTTTTCTTTTTTTTTTTACCAATTCAAGAATGTCCCTCGTGAAGAACACTGGGGGAAATGGAATTCTCGGCAAACAGAGCAGCTTTATTTCTAATGTTTTGGCTCACAGAGGATGGACTGGGGGCGCGAGCTGGCCGGTGCTGGAAAACCTGGCTTGGCTTCTCCTTACTGTCTTGGGACCTAGAGAGCAAATCGGCTTCTTTCTCTGGGCCTCACTTGACCCATCTGAAAAATGGAGCTTGAGAAACTCCTCTCCAAACTGGGTGCCAAGGGAGGAGTGGTGAGGGGGTTGTTTACAGTTGTCCACTCCGTGGGGAGCATCCTGGTCACACAAGGCCCATTTTCCTGCACAGGTCTGGTCTCACACTTGTTGAATTTGGGTTCAAGCTCTTCCAAGGGTGCTGGTGGGGACGCAAGCCCTACAAGCTCTTTGTCCTAGTTCACCGTCAGATTTGTTCCGCTGCACCTTCCAAAAGCAATAGGAACAGGTCCTTCATAACTGTAAGTAAACAATCACTCATTAATAGTTTCACATGGCTCTCCCCTGCTGGGCTGCAGGCCCCACCGAATTCCTGGCTCAGTGCCTATCAGGAGAATTCAATCTCTGTGTTAACTAATTAGCAAAGGAGGCCACAGTAGAGCACTGGGGGAACTTTTCTGCTAACTGGCATCAGTGCCACAGCTAAGGAGGAATAAGACGCAGCTCCCTCTCCCTGACCCACTTGGAAATGGAAGGTCTGGGGGCCCGGGACAGGGGTGGGGGATAGGGTTAGTCGCAGGCTTCTTCCTCAGGCCACACCCCTCTCCCGTGCTCACACGCACCCAGTCTGACCCAGGCCTGGCCCTGGTTCCACCACGACCCCAACTCCTGCCACGCCACCTGTCCAAGAACACGACACTTCTTAAACAGGTCAAGAAGTCTCAACATCAGAGTTAAACTCTGTCCCACGTGCATTTGGAGAGCCCGGCACACAAAGATGAAAAGCGGCAACCCCAGCCTGCAGCCGCTGACACTGCGGGGGAGGCCTGGTCACAGGGCGAGCTGGCGAGGTGCCTCCGAGAGTGGCACAGAAAGGACAGGAGACGGGGAAGGGGCAGAGGGCTTCCCGGAGCAGGAACCTAAAGAGGCCTCTTCCGCCCTTCTAACAAATGAGAAACAGCTCGATGTCCCTCACAAGGGGACCCAGCCTGGGCAAGGAGGATTGTTCCAGAACCTCCAGAAATAGTTGTTACCAGAGTTGGTGGTCCACAGGCTGGCAGTCAGGCCCACGGCCCCTCAGCCGGAAGGCGTGGGGGGCGAGCAAGCTCAGGTTCCAGCCGCCCCCGGCCTCCTTCCTCATCACCCG